CATGTCGTTTGGCAAACTCTAATCTGGCCTTCCTGTGTTTGAGGCTCACCAATGGTTTCCATCTTGTGGTGAACCCTCTGTATTCACTCTGGTGAAGTCTTCTCTTGATTGGTGACTTTGACACACATACACCTACCTCCTGGAGGGTGTTCTTGATCTGGCCAACTGTTGTGAAGGGTGTTTTCTTCACCAGGGAAAGAATTCTTCGCTCATCCACCACAGTTGTTTTCCGTGGTCTTCCGGGTCTGTTGGTGTTGCTGAGCTCACCGGGGCGTTCCTTCTTTTTAAGAATGTTCCAAACAGTTGTTTTGGCCACGCCTAATGTTTTTGCTATCTCTCTGATGGGTTTTGTTTTGTTGTTTCAGCCTAATGATGGCTTCACTGATAGTGACAGCTCTTTGGATCTCATCTTGAGAGTTGACAGCAACAGATTCCAAATGCAAATAGCACACTTGAAATGAACTCTGGACCTTTTATCTGCACATTGTAATTGGGATAATGAGGGAATAACACACACCTGGCCATGGAACAGCTGAGAAGCCAACTGTCCCATTACTTTTGGTCCCTTAACAAGTGGGAGGCACATATGCAAACTGTTGTAATTCCTACACCGTTCACCTGATTTGGATGTAAATACCCTCAAATTAAAGCTGACAGTCTGCAGTTAAAGCACATCTTGTTCAATTCATTTCAAATCCATTGTGGTGTATAGAGCCAAAAATGTTAGAATTGTGTCCATGTCCCAATATTTATGGACCTGACTGTATGTACAGTTGTGTTCAAAATATTAGCAGTGTGCTGAAAAAAGTTACTAAAGCTGAAAATCCTTCTAATCGCTTTTATTTCCATCCACACAAATGCATTGGGAACACGACACATTCTATTCCAAATCACAACATGAAGAAAAATACATCAAATTTGTGTTGTTCCTCTAAAAAAATGGAAGAAAAGTGAATATTAGACGGTTCAAAAAAATGGCCGTGTTTTATATTCTTCTTTACAAACTCAAACATTCACTATATAAACTGAGAAATGTTTGAAGATTTTGCTTTCCTTTGAATGACTTCATGAATATTTGGTTGTAGTCGCACTGTTTCTGAGAACTGCTGTACATCTGTGTTGCATGGAGTCCCCCAACTTCTGGCCCCTGTGATCAGGTATTCCAGCCCAGGATGATTGGACCACATTCCACAGTTCTTCTCTATTTCTTGGTTTGGCCTCAGAAACTGCATTTTTGGTGTCACCCCACAAGTTTTCTATTGGATGAAGATCCGGGGATTGGGCTGGCCACTCCATAACGTCCATCTTGTTGGTCTGGAACCAAGATGTTGCACGTTTACTGGTGTGTTTGGGGTCATTGTCTTGTTGGAACCCCCATTTCAAGGGCATTTCCTCTTCAGCATAAGGCAGCATGACCTCTTCAAGTATTCTGATGGATTCAAACTGATCCATGATCCCTGGTATGCGATAAATAGGCCCAACACCGTAGTATGAGAAACATCCCCATATCATGATGCTTGCACCACCATGCTTCACGGTCTTCACAGTGTACTGTGGCTTGAATTCAGTGTTTGGGGGTCGTCTGACAAACTGTCTCCGCCAACTAGACCCAAAAAGAACAATCTTACTGTCATCAGCCCACAAAATGTTGCGCCATTTCTCTTTAGGCCAGTCAATGTGCTCTTTGGCAGATTGTAACCTCTTTAGCACACATCTTTTTCCCAACAGTGGGACTTTGCGGGGACTTCTTGCAGATAGCTTGGCTTCACATAGGTGTCTTCTAATTGTAACAGTCCTCACAGGGAACGTCACACCTTCTTTCATCCTCCTGGAGCTGATTGTTGGCTGAGTCCTCACAGGGAACGTCACACCTTCTTTCATCTTCCTGGAGCTGATTGTTGGCTGAGTCCGCCCCATGTTGGCTATTCTTCTATCCATTCCAATGGTAGTTTTTCGCTTTCTTCCGCGTCTTTCAGGTTTTGGTTGCCATTTTAAAGCATTTGCCATCATTTTATCTGAGCAGCCGATCATTTTCTGCACTTCTTTATATGTTTTCCCCTCTCCAATCAACTTTTTAATCAAGGTACGCTGTTCTTCTGAACAATGTCTGGAACGACCCATTTTCCTCAGAATTTCAGAGAGAAATGCACTGTAACCAGCATGTCCAACATTTGCTGCCTTCCTTCCTTAAATAAGGGCAATCATTGCCACCTGTTTATCAAAGAATGAATGACGTCACTAATAGAACTCCACACGGCTATTATTGTGAACACGCCCCTTTCAATGAGTGATTCAATGACACAGAATCAGCAGCATGCATGTCATGACTGTCGGGTCTGTTGGATTTCTATGACTCTACTACACCTGCTAGGAAATTATCTGCCATGTAGAAATATCATTTCCACCAAAAACAGCGATTGATCCGGTTAGTGATGTCTGACGGCTAGTATTTTGAACACAACTGTACATTGTTACAGAAGTGGGCGCCACATGCGTTTGTGTTGGGAGCACGCTCAATTGTGCGCCCCCCAGCATGGAGACCGAGGTGCAAGTGACAGCTTCCGGTCTCAGAGAAACGATGGGGAGCAGGTAAGATCAGCTCCTGATCACATGATCACTGTGACAGCCAATCAGAGCGATTACTAGTGTTAGATCCCGGGGGGGAAACGTAGCATTTCACCTGGTGCCTTGACTTACGCAGGTCATCCACGAGTCGAAATCACAATTTTCTTTAGAAAATCGGAAGTTTCATGCATTTTTTAACCTGATGGCGCCACCATCGATTGCAAAATTCGACCAACCAAGCCTTCAATTTCACTTCATGTTGCTACAGAAAAGAAGCCAACAATTTTCCTTTCTTTCCAGGTCACAGCTCATGTCCATTTTTTTTCCGATGACATTTCTCGCACAATTCTCCCATCAGTGATTAAAAATGCGTTTGTTTTTAAAAAAATTTCCAACATGGCCGATCACTCCAATCTGGGGGTCGCTCGAAAATCGACCGTTGCTGTGGCCCACTAATGGTGTGAGATTTGAACGAAAATTCTTAGAAAAGAAAATCTTTCAGAATTCGACCCGTGTATGTCCGGCTTTACTTCTGAGCAGCGCCGTGAGTGACCAAAGGTTAGATGTGCCGGGCGATGCTGTGAAGTAGGTAGGGGGAAGATCCCACATCCGCTGCTAGGTAAAAAAAAAAAATTGGGTAAGAATTTGAAAAATTTAGGTAAAATGGATTTTTAACCACTTTCCCGTCCGGCTGCTGTATATAAACGTCAGGACGGTGGCAGTGCGGGGGCGGGTAGCTGTTTATAAACGGAGCCCACTATTTTGGTCTGTGCGCACTCCCTGGGAGCATGCAGCACCGCGGTCCAGTGCCCGTTGTGTCCTCCAGACACACAGGACCACCGATCGTCGTATGGGACCTCTGTACAAGGTCCCGATCATGTGATCACTGATTGGCCAATCAGTGATCACATGCAGCGTAGTAAGCAAGATGTCACTTCTGACATCATTGCTTACTACGTGTGAAATCTGTGAATGATCACAGAGATAACATGGTACAGGGCTACTCACAACAGCCTTGTACCATGTGACAAGCTGTGACCAATCACAGCTCACACAGTACTTCTCAATGGCAGCAAGAATGCAGCCAGAGAGAAGGAGAAATGATTGTACAGCCTTTATGGGTGTAAAAGCAATCAGTGTAAAAAAAAAAAAAAAATCTTCATCACCCCCCACAAGTAGTACAGTGTCACCATGGAGACACTGCACTGCTAGGGTGACAGTATGTACAAAAAAAACCCCCAAATAATAATAAAAAAATTGAATTCAAAAAAATTTTTTTAAACTTAGAATTTTTGGTTATAAACTAATTTGGGTTATTTGTTTTTTTACTAAAAAGATAATGGAATAAATTTTGGCCAAGATTTATGATGAAATATTATTTATTTGCAAACTTTTATAAGAAAAACACTTTTTTTCAAACTTTTTGGACTTTTTCATTTACATAGCAAAAATAAAAATCCCAGCGGTGAATAAATACCACCAAAATAAAGCTTTATCTGTCTCAAAAAAATGCTAAAAAGTTCATATGGGTACAGTGTTGCATGACCGCGCAATGTCATTCAAAGTGTGATAGCGCTGAAAGCTGAAAATTGGCCTGGGGGGGGGGGGGGGGGGGGGGGGGAGGGGGTGAAAGTGTCCGGACTGGAAGGGAGGGAAAGTGTCTGGACTGGAAGGGGGGGAAAGTGTCCAGACAGGAAGGGGGGGAAAGTGTCCAGACAGGAAGGGGGGGAAAGTGTCCGGACTGGAAGGGGGTGAAAGTGTCCGGACTGGAAGGGGGGGGAAAGTGTCCGGACTGGAAGGGGGTGAAAGTGTCTGGACTGGAAGGGGGGGAAAGTGTCCGGACTGGAAGGGGGGGAAAGTGTCTGGACTGGAAGGGGGGGAAAGTGTTGGAACTGGAAGGGGGGGAAAGTGTCCGGACTGGAAGGGGGGGGGGAAAGTGTCCGGACTGGAAGGGGGGGAAAGTGTCCGGACTGGAAGGGGGGAAAGTGTCCGGACTGGAAGGGGGGGAAAGTGTCCGGACTGGAAGGGGGGGAAAGTGTCTGGACTGGAAGGGGGGAAAGTGTCCGGACTGGAAGGGGGGGAAAGTGTCCGGACTGGAAGGGGGGGAAAGTGTCCGGACTGGAAGGGAGGGAAAGTGTCCGGACTGGAAGGAGGGAAAGTGTCCGGACTGGAAGGGGGGGAAAGTATCCAGACAGGAAAGGGGGGAAAGTGTCCGGACTGGAAGGAGGGAAAGTGTCTGGACTGGAAGGGGGGAAGTGTCCAGACAGGAAGGGGGTGAAAGTGTCCGGACTGGAAGGGGGGGAAAGTGTCCAGACTGGAAGGGGGGGAAAGTATCCAGACAGGAAGGGGGGGAAAGTGTCCGGACTGGAAGGGGGTGAAAGTGTCCGGACTGGAAGAGGGGGTGAAAGTGTCCGGACTGGAAGGGGGGGAAAGTGTCCGGACTGGAAGGGGGTGAAAGTGTCTGGACTGGAAGGGGGGGAAAGTGTCCGGACTGGAAGGGGGGGAAAGTGTCCGGACTGGAAGGGGGGGAAAGTGTCTGGACTGGAAGGGGGGGAAAGTGTTGGAACTGGAAGGGGGGGAAAGTGTCCGGACTGGAAGGGGGGGAAAGTGTCCGGACTGGAAGGGGGGGAAAGTGTCCGGACTGGAAGGGGGGGGGAAGTGTCTGGACTGGAAGTGGTTAAAAAAATCTAAACTTTCAGGGCTGCAGGTAAATATTTGTTCTCACATTCATCAGTAAACAAGTTTTCTATACCCAACTCTTCTATAATTTTTCTGAGATGAATATTTGACTCAATTTGCACCTTTTTCACATCCTCGCTCTCCAGACTACGAACTCCATGCGAGTCTCTTGATGGGCCATGTCATGGCGGGATGGGGACAAATGCCCTTTAACCCCTAGAAGACCCTTGTTGTCTCCAATAACGTTCGGCAGGAGCTGAGGAACAGAAAGTCCAGCTGCCATCATGATGGAGGGTGTCAGGTATGCAGCACTTTCCCCGTCCTCGACATTCCGGAACCGATCGAACATTACAGCTCCATCACACCGAACGCCCTGCAGAGAATACTCGATGTCTTCCTCGTACGCTCTGCTTGTATCGTAATGGAGACTAATAATCACTTGTCATAGCAGCCTCTCCCATGTACACAGTCCCGGCAATTATGGTAATGGAGACCAGTTTGTAAATGAGATGCCAGATTGTCACGTTGGAGATCACAAATCCTCGGGTCCCAAAGGAAGCCAGGGGCCACTGAGCGTTCTAGGAAAAGTGCGGGAAATGTTGAATTCTGAGTCATTGGATTGTGACTGGTAATCAGTACACAATGTAAGTGTCCAATCCAAACGTACACGTTCCTGCGTTAAAAATGGCGGTGTGTATAAGTGGGTGCTGCAGCGACCGTCGGCTGGATCCGAACATAATCAGGGAGGGAGAACGTCACCAGCACACCGAGGATCACCAATACGGGTCCAAAGGTTTTAATGAACGGTCGCATAGTTACAGCAAGGCAACGTTTTGGAGTCTCTCAGGACCCCTTCATCAGGCAGGACCCCTTCATCGGCCATTGCAGAATATTCCACTTCTTTTCCTTCCTCCTGGGTTGCTTTTGCAGTGTGTTTTGGATCATTGTCCACCTGTACTGTGAAGCGCCGTCCAATCACCTTTGCTGCATTTAGCTGTATCCGGGCTGACAGTATATCTGTGAACCAGGGGCGGACTGACCATTTGGAAACTAGGGCCCGGGGTCAGTAGGGGGCCCCATGAGATGCCCCTGGTACCTTTTTCATAGGCTTTTTTGAGTTTGGGCAAGGACACAGGGGCCTCATGATCCCCTATTGCCCGGGGGCCCCATGAGCTGTCAGTCCACCCCTACTGTGAACACAATCCAAATGCACACGTTCCTGTGTTAAAAATGGCGGTGTGTATAAGTGGGGCGCTGCAGCAACCGCCGGCTGGAACCGAACAGAAATGGCGAGGGAGAACGTCACCAGCACACCGAGGATCACCAACACGGGTCCAAACGTTTTAATGAACAGTCGCATAGTTACAGCAAGGCAATGTTTCGGAGTCTCGCAGGACCCCTTCATCAGGCTTGTGACGTCATGTGTGTGTCACAAGCCTGATGAAGGGGTCCTGCGAGACTCCGAAACGTTGCCTTGCTGTAACTATGCGATCGTTTATTAAAATTTTTGGACCCGTATTGGTGATCCTCGGTGTGCTGGTGACATTTTCCCTTGGTATGCAGTATAGATGCGGGTCATGGGTCAGGTTCAGGGATGAGTTACCATTCTGCCATGTTTGGGTCACAAAGGGGCCCCATAGCAACAAACTCAACAGCCTCCCTAATGGGGCCCCCTTCCACACCCCCAGGCCCCTTAGTAGCTGCCTGGGCTGCTATGGCCATTTTCATGTCACTGTGCGCACCTCGGTATTTTTGCTGTTTAAGTCATGCGAACAATGTCATGTGTGCTCAGAGGCCAGTCTGTCATGTATGTCGGTCCTGGCTGTGTATGTGTGTTGGGGCGCCATTGAAAATGAATGTCTCTTAGATGTGTTGCGTCAGTTCAGTTTAGCCATTGCCCTGAGGAAGGGGGCCGGTTTTGCCGAAACGCGTCAGCCAGCTCTGCCATCCATTTACCAGTTGGAATTGGATGGCGGATGTGTGCACTTCGTGAATGTGCGTTTACATGCCTTCAGCCTGCTGGGCTTGTCAGTATCATTTGATTTGTTGCTGTGACAGGAGTGACTTTTGGGGGTGGGGGGACCCCTGTCTCAGCTCCCCATGTTCCCATTATGTGTAAGTCACCCTGTGCCTGTTAGGGGTACAGGGTGGAATATCCTAATATTGGTGTGGGGATTGTTCATTGTTCTCATCCCATTGTTCTAGCAAGCTATTATGGGATGTAATGTTTGTGTATTGGTGTGGGGGGTTGTTCATTGTCTACTGCCAGGTGGTGTATCCCATTGTTCTATTGGGTGTCTTACTTGGGAGAAAAGGATTATGGGATATATGTGTTTGTACTGGCTTGGTGGGGGGGGTGTTTTCGGCAGCCCTTCCCCCTGATGGGACGGCCTGATGATGTGTTTCCTGTTCCTGGTTGTATTTCCCCGCCCTGTGTATATATCTTGTGTTTGTGTTAAAATAAAGCAGTTGACTTCCTGTTTTAATACGAGTCTGGTGCTGTCTCTTCTTGTATGGTCAGCGGTGGTGTCTGTGGATCTGTGTTCGGACAGGGAAGCGGGAGTCTAACGGAAATACCCGAGTGCAGTCGGGGTCCGGTTCCGTTACAGTTGTACCAATAAAGTGCTTCAAGATAATGCTCCAGGCATTTGCACCTTTTCTGGTTTTGGTTTTTTTTTTTTTGTTGTTGTGTCAGTTTAGTCATGAAATACAGTTTGTATTTTGCACATTTATGATATTTTCTGGACATATACGGTTAGGTCCATATATATGTATCTGGACACCGGCACAATTTTCATCCTTTTGGCTCTGTATGTCACCAGAATAAATTAAATCGAAACAATCCGAATGAATTTGAAGTGCAGATATTCAGCTTTCATTCAAGGGGTCGAACATAAATATCAAGAACAAAGTTAAGAACTGCAACCATTTTTTATACACAGTCCCTCCACTTTCAGGGGCTCAAATGTCATTGGACAAATGAATCTAATCATCAATAAAATGTTAATTTGTAATATTTTGTTGAGAATCATTTATTGGCAATGACTGCCTGAAGTCTGGAACCCATGGACATGACCAAAGACTTGGTTTCCTCCTTTCTGATGCTTTGCCTGAAGTCTGGAACACATGGACATGACCAAATACTGGGTTTCCTCCTTTCTGATGCTTTGCCTGAACTCTGGAACCCATGGCCATGACCAAAGACTGAATTTTCTTCTTTCTGATGCTTTGCCTGAAGTCTGGAACCCATGGACATGACCAAAGACTGGGTTTCCTCCTTTCTGATGCTTTGCCTGAAGTCTGGAACCCATGGACATGACCAAAGACCGGGTTTCATCCTTTTTGATGCTTTGCCTGAAGTCTGGAACCCATGGACATGACCAAAGACTGGGTTTCATCCTTTTTGATGCTTTGCCTGAAGTCTGGAACCCATGGACATGACCAGAGACTGGGTTTCCTCCTTTTTGATGCTTTGCCTGAAGTCTGGAACCCATGGACATGACCGGAGACTGGGTTTCCTCCTTTATGATGCTTTGCTTGAAGTCTGGAAACCACAGACATGACCAAAGACTGGGTTTCATCCTTTTTGATGCTTTGCCTGAAGTCTGGAACCCATGGACATGACCAAAGACTTGGCTTCATCCTTTTTGATGCTTTGCCTGAAGTCTGGAACCCATGGACATGACCAAGGTGTCAGAGCCTGGGTCGAAACCTGGGCCTTCTGCGGTGAAAGACAGTGTTTCTTCTTGCTGAGCCACTTGGAATGCTGGACAGCTCCCTTGACAATTATTTGGATGATCCTACCATGACCTTATTTACCTTGAACCTTGAACCCTGTGCTCCTCCCATGAACTTCCTGATAAAAGCCATGTCTCTACATTTCCTCTTTGCCAGATTATTGTGCCTTCTCCAGCCAATATCCCGCTTGTCTCTCCTGCTGCTGGCTATACCTTCGCTACCGACCTTTGGCTTGTTCCTGGACTACGATTCTGCCTCATCCCCATCTACTACCATTTGTTACCGACTCTTGGCTTGTTGACTGACTCCGCTTCTGCTAGATCCCTACCTGCTCTATCTGCTATTGGATTCCGGCTTGCTCATTCCCTGGTGGGGTGATCCTGAGAACTGCGACCTGGTGCTAACACGCAGATAAATCCATCTCCACCATTAGGAGCTCTGGTGAAAACCGGTTAGTGCTTAGACCCCGCAACCCAGGTGTGCCTGCGTCATTTCCCAGGGTGACCTGCTGGTGTACCTATCCTGCTGGTTTCAGGTAAGCCTTACACTGCTATAGCAACTGGTCTCTGAACCTGACCCAGACCGTGACACCAAGACTGGGTTTCTTCCTTTCTGATGCTTTGCCTGAAGTCTGGAACCCATGGACATGACCAAAGACTGGGTTTCCACCTTTCTAATGCGTTGCCTGAACTCTGGAACCCATGGACATGACCAAAGACTGGGTGTCCACCTTTCTGATGCATTGCCTGAAGTCTGGAACCCATGCACATGACCAAAGACTGGGTGTCCACCTTTCTGATGCGTTGCCTGAAGTCTGGAATCCATGGACATGACCAGAGACTGGGTTTCCAACTTTCTGATGCTTTGCCTGAAGTCTGGAATCCATGGACATGACCAAAGACTGGGTTTCCACCTTTCTAATGCGTTGCCTGAACTCTGGAACCCATGGACATGACCAAAGACTGGGTGTCCACCTTTCTGATGCATTGCCTGAAGTCTGGAACCCATGCACATGACCAAAGACTGGGTGTCCACCTTTCTGATGCGTTGCCTGAAGTCTGGAATCCATGGACATGACCAGAGACTGGGTTTCCAACTTTCTGATGCTTTGCCTGAAGTCTGGAACCCATGGACATGACCAAAGACTGGGTGTCCACCTTTCTGATGCGTTGCCTGAAGTCTGGAATCCATGGACATGACCAGAGACTGGGTTTCCAACTTTCTGATGCTTTGCCTGAAGTCTGGAACCCATGGAC